GTTGTGGTTGCGTGTAAGATTGCGCGCTCATCACCGCATAGGGAGGCGGTGCCACGGCATAAGCATCACCTTGAAGAGGATAATAGTGTGGTGGGACCATATGAGGCACATATGATTGGCTGAATGACCTGCGGGCCCCCCTCGAGCTTGAAACCATCATGGCTCCTTCTTCTCTTTCGTTTCCATTTATAAAATCCTCTGAACCATTTTGAACATCTGGTGATGTGGCTTTAAAAGCAGAATGACTCAAGATTCGACCCGTTTTTAGCCCACTTTCTACCATCTCCCCAATTTTGATAGCCTCAGCAAACGGCTTACCCATAGCAAACATCGTGTTCTGGAAGTTGTCGGCCTTTTGGGCCTGTAGAAAGACCATATTTCAATTTCATCCATTGGAGGCTTTACCCCGGCAGCTTGCTCACACCATTTGACAGCATATTCGCGGAAGCTTTCCGCGGTTTTCTTTTTCAAATTGGACAAAGAGTTTCTGTCGGGAGCGATATCCACATTAAACTGGAACTGGCGGACAAAAGCTCGGGCCATATCATCCCATTCGTGCCAATGGGTAATTTCTTGATCCGTATACCACTCAGAAGCAATTCCGGAGAGGCTTTCCCCAAAATAGGCCATTAGCAGCTCCTCTTTTCCACCAGCACCCCTCAGCTGGTTACAATATCATTTCAGATGAGCGACCGGATCTTCATGCCCGTCGTACTTTTCAAATTTTGGCATCTTGAAGCCAGCTGGCAAGTGAACATGGGGAAACATACAGAGGTCAGAGTATGAGATGCTCTTTGTCCACTCAGACCTTGCACGTTTTTCAGGCTTTGTTCCAAGCTCTTCATCTTCCGAGCCATTTCCTCTTGCTCGGGATTTTCGACAACCTTTTCTTGCTCCCCCGAGAGATCATATTGCGGAGGTTGAGTGAATGAGTATGGGGTCACATATGTCATTTCTGGTTGAAGTTGTGGACCCCGAAAGATGAACATTGGAGGCGGTGCCCTTGAAGCTGGTGCATGGGGTGAACCACAGAAGGCGTGCCAAGATCATTGGAGGGCATTGGAGGGTGCCCGCATGGAATGAGCGGGTTGGGCACAGGGGCATTGGCAACCTCGCCTGACCTGGCTATCAACTCAGGGAACTCAAGAATTGCACTTGGCGGTTCCCTACCATTGGACCTGGCATCCCGCATTTCCAATATGTGGAGACGCAACATCCTGTTCTCTTCAGTAGCCGCTGATTATAGTTGTGGAATAGCCGGTGCCGGGCTATCCTCAGGACCGATGATTTGTAGATTGCTTGCGGAGGCATCTGTGCATTTGGATCTTGTGAAGGAAGGGAGGCTAGACTACCAACAAAACTAACCACCAAAAACCTTGCTTGTTTGCACACCCAACAACCTTGTTAGTTTTGAGACATTTAACATATAGGAAATCGCACGTTGGGATGCAATGCACCTAATAGTTAAACGCTTCTACCATGTGTTTGAACCGTTGCATGCATCATCCCGACCTTAACTAACCCTTTCAGTATGTACCTCTTTTCTTTAATTTCTGCCTCTCTTAATCACTCTTGATTTTTTTTTCATCTCGTTTTTGTCGTTCTTTTATTTTTTGCGCTCTCTTTTTCTCTTTTGTTTCTTTTTTTTGTTTTTGTCACTCTTTTTTTTTCCTTTTTTTTTTGTTTTGTCGCTCTTTTCTTTCTTTTTCACTCAATCAAATTTTTTTCTCTTTTCCTTTTCTCTCTCTTTTGTTTTCAAATTATTTTTTACTTAGTTTTATTTTATAGCTATGATCGAATCCGATGAGGATTGTTTACGTATCATGACGCCGCATGAATCATATCTAGCGTAGTTCAGGAAGATCGAGAATAGAGTTAATAAGCTAACTCATTTTTTTGTTTACTTTTTATAAAACTCAAACCATGAAAGCTTTAAGAAAAAAAGAAAAACATATTTTTTTTGAATTTTTTGTTTTGTTGGTTTTTGTTTTTGAATTTTTAAATCAAATGCTTTAAAAGAAGAAAGGAAATATTCTTTTTTTGGATATTTTATTTTGATTTTTTTTTTTTTGAAAAAAAGACTTCTAAAAATTCATTTGCTTTTTATTTGATCTTTGGAAATTTTAAAAGTAAAAAAAAATATTTTTTTTTGAATTTTCATTTGTTTTCTCTTTTTCTAAAGAAGAAAGAAAATATTTTTGGATTTTAGTTGTTGCCTCTTATTTTTCGGAAGAGGAACTTTTTTAAGAAAAATATTTTGGATTCCTAAGTTTTTTTTGTGTGTTTAAATTTACAAAAGTACTTCTAAAGAAAAATGAAAAATATTTTTGGACTTCAATTTTTAATTTTTTGTTTTTTTGACATTTACGAAAGAAAGACTTTTAAACAAGGAAAAGATTTTTTTTATTCTTTTTTTTCGTGATTTGTTTTTTGAATTTTTGGGAAAAATACTTCAAAATAAAGAAAACTCGTATTTTTGGATTTTGATTTTTTTTATTTCTTTTTTCCGTATGAAAGACTTCAAAAAGAAGAAAACAATTTATTTAGTTAAAAAATTTTTTTTTTTTTTGAATTTTTTAAGGAAATTCTTCTAATGAAGGAATTAAAGGAAAATCTTTTTGGATTTTTTTAAAAAAAAATGGGGTCGGAACCGATGAGGTTCCTACGTATCTCACATCCGGGGAGAATCAGACCCGCGTAGTTCGGTCAGTTTTAACGGAACAGGGAAAACATGGAACTTGAAAATTTTGGCTCATTTTGAAATTACCTTTATTTTTTTCAGAGTTTCAGAATTTCTAAATACCTACCTCTCACTTTTTTTTATTTTCTTTTTTTTCTCTTTTTTGGTTTTTTTCCCTATTCTAAAAGCCTGTCAACATGCAAGCCGAAACAAACAGATGCACTAGTAGCACGTAGGATGCATCAGAATGGTCTTTTAATTTCGGGTACACCTGTCCTAGACGGACCAAACCCTGTGTTGAGTCCTCAAAGTCAAATGCACGTGATGCAAACAAGCGTTCCTATTAGGGATCCGGCATGAGGCTATGTTATTCTAGGTTTAAAACTTGGGTGTATTGTTCTAGACCTGGCTTGCCCAAGCGGACAGCTCGAGCCGGAGGGGGCAGCGTACCGGGAATACAGAAGCTTCACCAGCTTTGCAACTTGTCTGAACCTCATTCTAAAATTGGAATATGACTCTAACAGAAAAGAAGTCACATGAAGTGCAAACTTCTAGATGATTTAGATGACTCAGAGAGAAGAGGGTTTCGTAACAATTTATACACAGTCCAAACAATATCAAAGCGGTAAAAAGCGGCATTTAGCACATTAGGCTCAACATGTAAAATCAGATAAAAACAAGCCAACTATAACAGTTATTCTAAGCTCGAATTCTTGAACCTTGAACCAAAGTTCTGGGTTTTGATCCCCAACAGAGTCGTCATAGCTGTTACACCTCCTTTTTATCACCCGAGGGGGTATATAAAGGAGTTTTTCCAATTAAAGTGACATTATTCGAAATGGAATTATTTTTTTATTTCTCAGAGTCGCCACTTGGAATAGTTTATTGGTGTCCCAAGTCACCAGTTTATTTTAAATCCCAAGTCGAGGAAATTAGAGTTTCATTTTAAAGTCTGAGAACCAGAAATTCTAAGTAAGGAATTCTATTAACCCAGAAGAAGGTGTTAGGTCTTCCTGAGTTATGTGGTTTTCGCACGGTCGCTTAAACTATTAAAATTGGCCTATTATCTGATTTATTACATGTCTTAGCCTATTGTGCATTTTTAGCTTATTAACCGCTTTTAGTTATTTTTAAAACGCTTTTAGGAAGATTCAATGTTATTTAAAACAGGCCTTGAACCACGTCACATGATATGTACCCGCGGTTCGCAACACGTTCTATCTAACATTGTTAAGAATCGAAATTGGGTCACATGAAATGTACACCCAAAATTAGTAATTAAAAGAAAATCAATTTAAAGAACGCGCCTAAAGCGACTACGAAAGTTCAAATTAATAACAAAGATCGCGAGGGCCATGGAAAATTCAATTGATGGCACACCTCGATTTTTTAAAGAGTTAACTAGTTTTATGAGGGTCATGGGCTTAGGGGTTTTATTTGGCATGGCACACCTCAATTGATATCAAAGGGTTTTATTATTCGAAGTTGTTATGATCGAGTTACATGAAATGCACACCCGGATTTGAGAATTATGTATCACGACTATGCCACGGGAACCGTACCCATAGCCATGATGATTTATTTAATTGCGCCTAAAGCAAGCTACGATGTTCATTAATTATTCATCCTAAATTTGGGATCACATGAAGAAGTTCGAATGTTATGGAATAATGCAAACATGGTGTAAGGTTAAATAATAGAAATTGGGGAATCGATTAATTCACCAAGCCATTTAGAAGAAAATTCACGAGTTGATTAAAAATGAGCAATTGGGATAAAAGGGGAAAACCTCAACATAGTATAATCTCACATCTTTGGATGTACTGCCCACACATGAATGATAACAAATATAATTAGGACCCGATAATTGCTAGGCATGACTACTTTCTAAATAGTCTTTGAGTAGGCCCATTCGGATAAACCACGACCCAAATCATAGCTAAAATAAGTGACTACTTTCTAAATAGTTCATGGATTTCCAGCCAATAAACTTAATATTCACATTTGACCACTAAATACTAAAATTAAATGAGTACTACACAATCAAAAATTTCCACTAGAACTACAGATTCAAACAGATATAACCTCTATGTCCATGCCTATTTCAATTTCCAATTTGTCTAGCACGCATTTCTCATTCCATTTACCATTTGGAATTCCCAGAACTCTTATACCAAAAGCAAAAGTAATGGCTAGATTCAATTCAAGCAGTAAAAGAAAAATCACAACAAGAATTCTAATCCAATGCATTTCATCACAATCTTCAATACATCGACAAACAAACAACAAGACAAGAAAAATCAAGGCAGTAGATGTTTACCTCACATACATAATAGGAGAGGGTAGAAGACCAAATAAAGGTCCAAAACTTTAAGATGAAGCTCAACAACTCACATGGAGAAAAGCAGCAGCACCTACGGATTTCACAGCCCTTAATATTGAATCTCAAAATTCGATCTCGAACAGAGAAAATCAAATACCATTCGGCATCACCAACTTCGTACTGAAACCCGAAATCAAATAGAAGGAAAGCCGAATTTTTTTTTTCTTTTTTTTTCTGATTTTAAAATAAAAAGAAATTTAGGTTAAGAAGAACTTGATGATTTTCTTTCTGTCCGAACCCCCATTTTCTCGTTTTCAACTTCATTTTCTTTTTTTTTTTTTTCTTCACTATTTTTGAGAGATGGATGCATTTTTGAGAGGTGAAGGAGTTGCTAGTTCTTCAGAGAGGAGGAAGTTGAAGAACAGGGGCATCGTTGCTCGCTCAGAGAAGGGGATCTCTAATTATCTTTTCCTATGTCTCTCTCCTCTAAAAATGGAGAATGTCCTCATATATGTCTCTATCATTAGGTCTTTTAGGAAATGGGTCTTAAGTAGTGGGAATTTGGGCTGGTTTGGGTCAGGTTATGGGTTGGTTAGTGGGTTTGGACAGATTTGGGTGTAGGATTTGGCCCAAATTCAAATTAAACTCTTTTTCCCAATTTCCTTTCTTATTTTCCTTTTTCTTTTCTTTTCTTTAATTAGTTATCCTAATATTAAAATCCTAGATTATCTAAAAATATGAAATTAAATTAATTAACTAATTATAAAAATTATAAAAACTACTTAATCCTAAATGAAAAAGAGAAGAAAAAAAATCAATAAAAGGAAAAAGTGTAAAAATGAAGCATTTTTTGTGATTTTCAATATTTATAAAACACGTAACTACCGATTAATCCTAAAAATGTAAAAATAAAGCGTAAATTTCATGCGTGATATTTTTGGTATTTTTCATGATTTAAATAAAACTTAAACATGCACAAAAATGCAAACAATTTAAATAAAATTCTACAAAAATTCCTAAAATGGCAAATAATTAACAAAAATCTATTTTCTTGGGATTTTATATGAGTATTTCGTATAGGGCAAAAATCACATGCTCACAAGAACTGCTAGGGCTGCTCAATCAAGTTGTTCCCACCCCTCGAGTCCTCCACGGTTTCAACATGATCGGAGAAGAAACGAAGGGAGAAATCATTCTCTCGATCGACATGCCTGGCATGACCCAGAACATCGAGTTTCACGTCATCGACGACGACATGAGATACAACGCCCTACTTAGCAGAACTTGGATACACAACATAAGGGTAGTGCCCTCGACCTTGCACCAGGATATAAGGTTTCCTGCCAGAGATGGCATCACGACCATACATGGGGATCAATGGGCAGCGAGGGAAATGTTCGCAGTCCACCACGAGACGCCAACCCCTGCATGCCCGACCTCGGACGAGGAGGGAAACGTATGGGCCCTTAAAGACGATGAGGAAGACTTCTTCGCACCCCGAACCTTCGTCGCCCCTAAAGAATCCGACGTGACCAGGTCAATAGTCGAGGAGCTGGAGCAAACCGTTTTGATCAAACACCTCCCGGATCGCAAGGTATACCTGGGAACGGGGCTGACCCCCGAACTTAGAGCAGAGTTTATTCAATTCCTTAGTAATAATATCGACTATTTAGCTTGGTCCCACTTAGATATGACAGGTATCCCACCGGAAATAACCTCACACAAACTAAGTGTTGACCCCAAATTCAAACCCATAAAGCAAAAAAGAAGACCGCAGTCCGAGGTGAATCATGCCTTCATCAAAGAGGAAGTGGCGAAACTCCTTAAAATCGGATCCATCAGGGAGGTAAAGTATCCCGAATGGTTAGCTAACATAGTGGTGTGCCAAAAAAAGGGAATAAGCTAAGGATATGTGTAGACTATAAAGACTTGAACAAAGCATGCCCAAAAGATTCCTTCCTGTTGCCTAATATCGATAGCCTGATCGATGCTACGGCCGGCCATGAGACCCTCACTTTCCTCGATGCCTACTTGGGGTACAATCAAATCTAGATGAACCCCGAGGATAGGGAAAAGACCTCATTTATCACGAAATACGGTACATATTGTTATAATGTAATACCCTTCGGGCTAAAAAATACGGGAGCAACATACCAACGGCTAGTTAACAAAATGTTCGAGCACCAAGTAGGAAAATCAATGGAGGTATATATTGATGATATGCTAGTCAAATCCCTACGCGCAGAGGACCATCTAACCCATTTGCAGCAAACCTTCGACATCCTCAGAAGCTACAACAAGAAGCTCAATCCTGAGAAGTGCGCCTTCGGAGTAGGTTCGGGCAAATTCCTGGGCTTCATGGTCTCAAACAGGGGGATCGAAATAAATCCTGGCAAAATAAAGGCCATCGAAGAGATTACGGTGGTAAACAACATAAAAGTCGTTCAACGACTGACGGGGCAGATCGCGGCCTTGGGCAGATTCATATCGAGATCATCGGACAAAAGCCACCACTTTTTCGTCCTGATCAAAAGAAAGAACAACTTCGAATGGAATTCAGAATGCCAATATGCCCTGGAAGAACTAAAATGGTACCTGTCTAGACCGCATTTGCTGCACATGCCAAAGGAGGATGAGACGTTATACCTATACTTGGTCGTATCCGAAATAGCGGTAAGCGGCGTACTGGTCCAAAAAGAGAAAGGTACGCAACTTCCTATTTATTATGTGAGTCAAACCTTGGGGGACGTCGAAACCCGGTACCCCCCATCTGGAAAAATTGGCTCTCACACTAATAAGAACATCGCGCAAATTGAAGCCTTACTTTCAGTGCCACCGTATCTGTGTCCTGTCAACTTATCCCCTCCGGAATATACTGCATAAACCTGAGTTATCAGGTCGATTGGTCAAGTGGGCCATCGAAATTGGAGGGTATGACATCGAGTATCAACCTCGGACGGCCATCAAGTCCCAAATCCGTGACGGATTTCGTGGCTGATTTCTTGCCAACCCTCGTGCTCGAGGTAGAGAAGAAGCTTTTATTAAAATCAGGAACATCATTTGGGGTATGGACCCTGTTCACAGATGGTGCCACAAACGTAAGGTGATCCGAACTCGGTATAATCCTAAAGCCGCCCGTAGGCAGCATAATCAGAAAATCCATAAAAACCACAAAACTGACTAACAATGAAGCCGAGTATGAGGCTATAATTGCAGGTTTAGAGTTGGTCAAAAGTTTAGGGGTTGAGACTGTCGAGGCAAAATGCGACTCGCTCCTCGTGGTAAGCCAAGTAAACGGAAGCTACGAAGCCCGAGAAGACAGGATGCAAAGGTATTTGGACAAAATCCAAATCGCCTTGCATCGCTTCAAAGAATGGACCTTAGTCCATGTACCTCGAGAGCAAAATTGCAAGGCCAATGCCCTCGCGAACCTAGGATCTTCCGCTGAGGAAGAAGACCTGTTCCCCAGAATCATCGTTCAACTGTTCAAATCTGTGGTCGAGGAAGGTCATGCGAAAATTAACTCCACCAACCTGACATGAAACTGGAGAAACAAATACATCATTTATCTGAAGGACGTAAAGCTACCCATGTATCCAAAAGAATCGAGGGCCCTGCGAACCAAAGTGGCCCAGTTCTAACTCGACGAAAATGGGACTCTTTATAGGAGAACTTTTGATGGTCCCCTGGCGATATGCTTGGGGCTGGGCGACACGGATTATGTGCTCTAGGAGATCCACGAGGGCACCTGCGAAAATCATTTTGGGGCCGATTCCTTAGTCCGAAAAGTGATCAGAGCGGGCTACTATTGGGACAGCATGGAAAAAGACGCCAGGGAATTCGTCTAAAAATGCGACAAGTGTCTGAGGTTAGCTCCCATGATCCACTAGCCCAGGGAACAATTGCATTCCGTTTTATCACCATGGCCATTCATGAAATGGGGGATAGACATTGTCGGCCCTTTACCGACGGCACCAGGTAAGGCCAGATTCATTTTATTTATGATTGACTATTTCTCAAAGTGGGTGGAAGCGTAGGCCTTCAAGAAAATAAGAGAGAAGGAGATCATCAATTTTATATGGGAACACATTGTGTTCCGATTCGAAATTCCGTCCGAAATAACATGCGACAACGGGAGGCAATTCATCGGGAGCAAGGTAACACAGTTCCTTGAAGACAAAAAAATCAAGAGAATCCTATTGACGCCATACCACCCGTGTGCAAACGGCCAAGCCGAATCTACAAATAAAATCATCATTCAAAACTTAAAAAATAAGTTGGAAAGCGCTAAGGGAAAATGGAGAGAAACGTTGCCCGAGGTGCTGTGGGCATATCGAACAACTCCAAAATCGAGCACCGGGGAGACACCCTTCTCTCTAGTGTATGGCGCCGAGGCACTGATACCGGTGGAGGCCGGAGGACCAAGTTCCAGATTCCGACACACTAGCGATGGGTAAAACAATGAAGCCATGGCAACGGCCCTCGAGCTGCTCGATGAAAGACGGGAAGCCTCGCTGGTTCAGATGGCCTGCCAGAAATAGTAAATCGAAAGATACTACAATAGAAGAACGAATCTTCGATACTTTGGAATCGAAAACTTGGTCCTAAGGAAGGTTACCCTCAACACCAGAAACCCTAATGAAGGGAAGTTGGGCCAAAATTGGGAAGGACCGTACCGTGTCCTTGGGATAGTTGGCAAAAGATCCTATAAGCTTGATACCATGGAGGGCGAGCAGCTTCTGAGTAACTGGAATGTATTGATGCTTAAGCGGTATCACTGCTAGGGAGGGATGTGGAACCCCACAAAATGTCCTCGAGCAAACATCACACTCTTTTCCTTCAACAGGGTTTTTTTACCCCGAAACGGGTTTTTGCCAGCAAGGTTTTTAACGAGATGACGTTCATACATTTCCCTAGAAAGATTCGAGGAACCTACACGATTTCTTTCGCAGTTAGCCCCGCCCTGGGAAAAAGATGAACAAGGCTCCGATAGGGAACAACGTATCGGGCCGAACTCGCAAAAACAAAACAGCATGTATCCACACCAAGCAATAAAAGGATATCTTTTCAACATCTTATTCTCCAGACAAGGAAATCTCAAGTATACCCCCCGACAGGCGCCTCTCCGCCAAACGTATATCGAGATACTCAGAGACTTAGCGTCAGCAATTCAGCACCCGCACGACCCCAGGGTCGAAACTCGGGCTCATAAAGCCCCTACAAGGCAACTCCGAGCTCACGAAAAGTGGTCTTCAAGCTTAAACAAATTCGATGACTCGGAGACTATCATTTATCGCCAATCGCCATGCACTGGGAAACCCGAAACTGTAAGACCCCTAGCGGGCAGACTCGACGTAACCAGATCTATTCTACATTACAACAAAAACTGTAAGACCTCAACAGGCATGACAAACTGTAAGACCTCAACAGGCATGAAAATCCCGAAGTTCAGGCTATACGTCGCATTTGTAAGAGTCCTGAAAGGGCATACCCTCGGTGTAGATGCCTGAACT